GGGGGGGGGGGTCTCACTGTGATTCCCGTGGCATTCAGTTAGAGGCTTTTCTTGCTACCCACCCCCTCCATATTTTAAATACAGGTACTCGCACCCATTTTGATCCTCGGACTTTCACTCTCTCTTGCGTCGATCTCTCAGTCTGCTCTTCCTCCGCCGCATTAGACTTCACCTGGTCTGTTCTCCCGGATTTACATGACAGTGATCATTTCCCAATCATTCTTACTTCCCCTTCATATTCACCACCTCTTCGTATCCCACGCTGGCAGTTTGATCAGGCAAATTGGAACCTTTACTCACAACTAACTGTTTTTAGTGAGGTTCCTTCTTCGTCCTCCATTGATGAGCTTTTACACCTCTTCTCGTCCTCTGTTTTACCCGCAGCTTCTCATTGTATGCCCCAAACTTGGGGCAGGCTTTCTCAGAAATGCGTGCCTTGGTGGTCTCCTGCTTGTGCTCGTGCAGTACGTTTGAAACGCACTGCGTGGGGCAGGTACAGGTACAATAGAACCACGGAGAGACTTCTTGATTTTAAGCAGAAGCATGTGATTGCTCGCCGTGTCATCCGTGACGCTAAACGCACTTGCTGGTGAGATTGTCTCCACCATCACCTTGGCTTCCTCTATGAGTGCAGTCTGGAAAAAAGTACGAAAACTGAGTGGTAAATATTCTCCTGACCCGGCTGCTGTTCTGCGGGTTGGCGGTGTTGATATAGCAAACCCACTAGATGTTGCCAATGAAATTGGCAATCATCTGGTTCGTATTTCTCAGGGGGCTCCATCTATGCCCCTCGTTTCTTTCCTCAAAGTCTGCCAGAGAGTTAGCACCCTTGGACTTTTCTTCTCTCAGAGAAGAACAGTATAATGTGCCTTTTACACTTCAAGAACTGGAGGCAACACACTCCGCTTCCATCATCGGCAGCTGGGCCCGACGACATTCATATTCGTATGCTACAACATTTACATCAGTCAGCCCTTACAGTCCTATTACGCCTTTTCAATCTTATTTGGTGACAAGGAGTCCTTCCACAGCCGTGGAATTCTGCCATTGTTCTCCTTTTCCGCAAACCAGGCACTATGGGACATGAAGCCTCCCACTATCGTCCCATTGCTCTTACCAGTGCAGTTTGCAAAGTGATGGAACGCCTGGTAAATAGACGTTCAGTGTGGTATTTAGAGAGACACAACACACTCTCCACTCATCAATATGGCTTTCGTAAGGGACGTTCTACCATAGGCCCCTTGCTACGCTTGGATACGTATGTTCGTAATGCCTTTGCAAATAACCACTCGGTTATTGCCATATTTTTTGACCTTGAGAAGGCATATGACACAACTTGGAGGTATAATATTTTAGCCCAAGCCCACTCCTTAGGCTTTCGAGGCAATCTACCATCCTTCCTTAAGAACTTTTTAACTGACAGGCATTTCCGTGTTCGGGTTAATAATGTGCTCTCCCCGGACTTTATCCAAGCTGAAGGTGTCCCCCAGGGATGTGTTCTGAGCACAACACTTTTTTCTCCTTGCTATTAATGATTTGACCTCTAGTCTTCCATCAAATATTTGGTCATCACTCTATGTTGATGACTTCGCTATTGCCTGTGCAGGCGCTGACTGTCACCTCATTACAGTTTCTCTCCAGCATGCAGTCGACCGTGTTTCCAATTGGGCCACCACACATGGGTTTAAATTTTCCAGCACTAAAACCCACCAAATTACTTTCACTAGACGCTCTGTCATCTCCGATCATCCTTTGTACCTCTATGGCTCTCGTATTCCTGAACGTGATAGTCAAGTTTCTGGGCCTCCTCTTTGACCGTAGGTTATCCTGGAAACCTCACATTACCTCTCTGAAGGCAACTTGTCACAGCCGGCTGAACCTTCTTAAAACCCTTGCTCATCTTTTATGGGGAGCTGATCGTCGAACTCTCCTTCGCCTACATTCCACCCTCATTTTATCGAAACTTGATTATGGTGACCAGATCTATTCAGCGGCCTCTCCTGCTACTCTCTAGCCTTAACCCCATTCATCACCAAGGATTAAGTTTATGCCTTGGTGCTTTTCGCTCTTCCCCTGTCAAGAGCCTCTATGCAGAAGCGAAATTTCCATCCTTATCCGATCGCCGTGATGCCCATTGCCTTCGCTACTATGTACGCTCTCATGATCTCCACAATCCTTCCATTTATAGAATGGTCACTGATATTAGTAGGCATTATTTGTTTGCCGCCCCTGTTTATTCTGTCCCTTCTCTCTTCGCCTACATTTGCTCTAGTCTTCTCTTCAATTACCACCATTCTATGTTCATGTAGCATCTCACTTTTCCCTATCCCCTGAGAAGTTCCAGCTGTTTGAGTCTGTTCTTTCTCTCTCCCTTGCTCGAAAGCCCAACTGTCTACGGTCGCTTCCCGTTCTCTTTTTCTTGACCACTTCCACTCTCATTCTCATGCCATTGCAGTGTACACAGATGGCTCTAAGTCTTCTGACTGCGTAGGATTCGCAGCAGTGTTTCTGGACAGCGTCGTACGAGGGCATTTACTATCTTCGGCTAGTATCTTTACTGCTGAATTGTGTGCCATTCTTGCAGCACTAATCCGTATTGCATCTATACCTGTGTCATCATTTGTGGTTGTCTCAGACCCCTTTAGTGCTTTCGGCTATACGAAATTTGATACACCTACCCCTTAGTCCTCTGTACCCAAACTTTGGCTACGCCGCTCTCTCCCAAAGCATAAAGTTTTTTTTTTGTTGGGTCCGTGGTCATTTTGACGTACAGGGCAATGAACAGGGGAAACACTGTTTTTGGTCACAGTACATGACTACCAGTTTCATATAGAGGTGTTCCTTTACGGACTATTTTGCTGCAAAGCTACCCCCCTCACACCCGTTGGCAACAACGTTGGTCTACCCTTCTCGGTAAAAACTTCAGTCTATTAAACGGTATAGGTTATGGCCGTTTGTACCGTGCCCAGGTTGTGAATACCTTTTCCCCCCTCCCCCTGGCCATATCGTCTTACTCATGATTCCCTTGGGGAGGTGCCCTGGTCCTCTCTTTTAGAATTATCAAGTTTCCCTTATCGGTTAGCCACATTTTTTTAAACTGCCCACTTTTCAATGGCACGCAGAATTTACCTCCAACGTCGTCTTCATCCCTGCTCTCTCTTTTTCCTTCCCTTCTCGTGATGGACCCACCTTTTACGGGGTCTCTCATTGACTTTTTGACAAAAATGACTGCTTCACAAATCGATGTACCCTTTAGCCCTTTCTTCCCTTTAATCTCTTGTACCCTCTACCCTGCCCCTTTTCCCCACCCGTGTTTTCTGTAACCTTTGTTCCCCTCCCCTTTGCTGCCCAATACCCTCGCTTCCTTTCCTACCCTGCAGCGCTGTATAGCCCTTGTGGCTTAGCGCTTCTTTTTTATTATAATAATGAAGAGGGTTCAGGTGGTTCAAACATTTAGAGAAGTGTAACAAAATAGTGTGACTTGGATGAAGTATAAATCTGTAGTGGAGGGAAGGTGGGGTAGGGATCATACTAGGTAAGGTTGGGGTAAAGGTGTTTTGTATTCGAGCGACACAAACAACCAGGAAGTATGTGTGAGCCCGATAGATAGGAGTGTGTGGAGGCAAGTGCTTATGATTTGTAGTGCTGTTTGAGCAAGGTAACATTTAACAAGGGATTGAGGGAAATCAGTTAGCCAGAGGAGTCCTTGAGGCGAGACGTACAGTGCCTGTACTCTGAAGGAGGGATGGAGATGTTTGCAATTTTGAACTGTAGTATTTTTTGCACCTCTGACAAGACAGTGATGGAGGGAACTAAGACAGGACTTTCCGCAATTGGTTCAAGTTGGAAAAATTTGGATTAAGAAAGGATATAGGAAAGCAGTAGTTTGGTAATAGTTGTGGATGAGAACAAACTCTAGTACTGTCACTGAAGTGATAACTGCAATGACAGTACTCAATTTGGACCTGCCTGGCATGGGCCAGTAGGCCTGCTGCAGTGCTCCTTGTGTTCTTATGTAAAACTTCAAAACGGAAGAGGCTAATGCATATACAAATGATTGCATCATGCCTTGACTAAACAATTAAATCCTTTAGCAAGATACAAAATAATTAGGCAATTTTTAGATGTGAATGAGTAGAAAGTAATTCCAGTGTCTTTCCACAGTATCCAGAAAGCCTTGTGTGTTTCTTCCCCAAGAGCCATATCAGTTAATGGGAGCTGCTTATTAATGCATGTTTAGAGTTAACTTGTTTAATATAGTAAACCATATTAATATCTTATTGTAAAATTATCTATTCCATTAAATTGCATTTTTTGTTTGTGGGTGTTATATAAAGCTTCTCAGCTGTATTAATAGAACTCGTGTACAATAAATACTTAGGTTTGTTTGTTACTATACTAGTCCTATTAGCAGTGGATACCCTTCATGCAAACTGCATGGCCACCTAGTGCTTTGTTCCTTTTTTTTTATTTTTTTTATTTCCATAAATGTTTTTCCCATTTTTACTTGCATCTTCTGTATTAATGTTTCTACTCTAATTTGTATGGGTTTGCTAAGAGCAACTCATTTTTCTTTATTTTTATGTTCAAGGAAATGATTTCATTGCTTCTTCAAAACTGAGTTACATTATAAATTTATTTGGCATGTTTCAGGTGATCCTTTAGAGTTAATAACACAAAATCATTTGAAATGTTTGGAGGAATATTTTACCACCTTTAAAATCCTTGAGGAGGATTTTGATATTCTAAGTGTTAAAAAAAAAAATACCATAGGCGGGGATAGAACCTGCAATCAGAGAGCCATAAAACTCCAGACCGATGCTCTAGCTCTCTGATCGCGGGTTCTATCCCCACCCGTGGTATGGTTTGTTTGCAATAGTGTCATTACGATTTTGAGTCGCTAAGTGTTAAGTTTGTCAAAGGAACAAAGTATCATACAGATAAATCAAGTTAGCTTATATTTGGTGGTATAATATGTTTAATTTTTATGATTTTCACAGATGGATGAGGACCCGGTTCATGGATTCTCTCAGACGTTTGTTCTCAAACCAATGAATGAATCCTTCTACATCCAGCATGACTCTTTCCGTCTCGTCATTCATAACCACTAGATCATCGCTTTTTTGTCAATCACATGACCATGGACATCAGCTAGTGAATCATCATTTCCAACCACAGGCTATCAATCAAATTAAACTATAATCATGAGTGCATGAGTGACAAATATGAATTGGAAGCCATTTGTAGGAATCATGCAGTATGATGAGAACATGTTTTATGCAAGACATGCTTATGGCTCTTGTAATAGACTTAATTTGTCTGAGAAATACTTAACATTCTTTTGAAGAAAGATTGCACAATGCGTGTGCAGTTTCCCTCTGTAACTACTGCATCAGCCAACTTGAAAAGCAGTACTTGTGAATACAGGAAAATAAGATGTTTAATGGATGAACATGAGTACACAAATTGATCTGCTAATTACATTCTAAGGTTTGCAAATGGCATTTCCAAGAAGTTACTACAAGGCAGTCACATTGTGAATATTGTCACCGAACTCATACGCTTAAATAATGTCCCAGAAACGGGAACTTATTGCTTTTGTTATATGGTGCAGATGCAAGTTTGGGAACAGCTAACTGAGATACATTTTGGGTGGCACTTTCTTGGCTGTATCTGTGTTAAGATTGCTTAATATGCTGTTTCATAAGTTTCTCTAAAATTTTGAATGAGTAATGCCACTTGCTAGGTTAAGGATTGCTGTTACTGATTTGACATTTTTTTTGATGCACACAAACACTTAAAACATATCGTTGGAGAGGACAGTATGAGCCTCAAATTGGTTTAAAGGCTAATGATGAGTGATTTCCTCAGTACTAATTAGTTTTAACACAATATCTATCTTGTTGATAGTCACTCATGTCCTCCAGATTAATGAATGACTGTTATTGTTCAGAGGCAATTATAAACTGGTTTTGGCTTTATACTTTAACATGTTACATAAATATCTGGCCTTTGATGTATATCACAGTTTGGTTGGTACAATGTCTGCCTAATAGATAGCTGACTTGAATATTAACATTGTTGTATATGTTCTAGAAAGTTTTTATATTTGTAAATTTATTTTTTTTTTTATTACTGCACTCTCAATTATAACAACTTAGTGGATATAATTTATCATTTTGTTGTCATGGTACCGTGCACTTTTATTTATTTCTTTTATAATTTCTCTGTGAGAACTCGTATGTATTTTAACACAGTTGCATGGTTAATATGTTGCTGTGATTTGTTTCTTACTGTCTGGGAAATCTGCCATTAATTCATTAGTTTTAACATTGTTATAAGTTTGCTGGTTTCAATGATAACCCGTGAATTTGTACATCAGAATCACTCGGTGAGATATGTTTGTTTTTGAATTGTACTTTGTAATATAATCAGAAATGAATATTTACAGAATGGTGCTTAGTGTTACATTTTTCACTCTGATACAAAACACGATTGTTTGATATTGAAGCTAAGGGGAAAGAATCACTCTTAAAAGGATTAATGTATTCCTTTTGTTTCCATATTTAAAAGGTTATATTTATCTGCCACTATATGTAGTGTTGTTCATTTTTTGTTGTCCTTAAAAGCATAAAATGATCCTTGGCAATTTTAGGTGCAGCATCTATAGGGTAGTCAAAGTACCAACTTTATTCCCTTCAGTCTCCTATATCAAGGGCACCTGGGTAACTTTTTCACATGTAAAATTGCCCTTGCATCATCAGTAGTTTAATTAAAATGATATTCTTACATAATCAAAAGTCTTATTCAGCCTTGTTAGTAATAAGTTTTATTTTTAATTATTTTGTACTCTATTGATAAATCTTATTCATAGTTGAACTTTATATATGTACTCTTTTTCATTAGTTTTGACAAGGACGGACTTGGTCTTTACCATGGTTGCTAAAGGTAAATCTTTTATTATATCTATATACAGGAAAGGGAATCGGTAACTTCATGCACTGGCCAGGGAGGTATACCATCTTTTAGGAGTGAAGAAGAACAGGATGTGAGTGTGGGGGGGGGTGCGTGAGGCATTACGTAGAATGAAAGGGGGTAAAGCAGCTGGAACTGACAGGATCATGACAGAAATGTTAAAAGCAGGGGGGGATATAGTGTAGGAGTGGTTGGTATTTTTGTTTAATAAATGTATGAAAGAGGGGAAGGTACCTAGGGATTGGCAGAGAGTATGTATAGTCCCTTTATATAAAGGGAAGGGGGACAAAAGAGATTGTAAAAATTATAGAGGAATAAGTTTACTGAGTATACCAGGAAAAGTGTATGGTAGGGTTATAATTGAAAGAATTAGAGGTAAGACAGAATGTAGGATTGAGGATGAGCAAGGAGGTTTCAGAGTGGGTAGGGGATGCGTAGATCGTGTTTACATTGAAGCATATATGTGAACAGTATTTAGATAAAGGTAGGGAAGTTTTTATTGCATTTATGGATTTAGACGCTGTAAGTCTGTTGAGTATACCTGGTAAAGTGTATGGTAGAGTTATAATTGAAAGAATTAAGAGTAAGACGGAAAATAGGATAGTAGATGAACAAGGAGGCTTTAGGAAAGGTAGGGGGTGTGTGGACCAGGTGTTTACAGTGAAACATATAAGTGAACAGTATTTAGATAAGGCTAAAGAGGTCTTTGTGGCATTTATGGATTTGGAAAAGGCGTATGACAGGGTGGATAGGGGGGCAATGTGGCAGATGTTGCAAGTGTATGGTGTAGGAGGTAGGTTACTGAAAGCAGTGAAGAGTTTTTACGAGGATAGTGAGGCTCAAGTTAGAGTATGTAGGAAAGAGGGAAATTTTTTCCCAGTAAAAGTAGGCCTTAGACAAGGATGTGTGATGTCACCGTGGTTTAATATATTTATAGATGGGGTTGTAAGAGAAGTAAATGCGAGGGTCTTGGCAAGAGGCGTGGAGTTAAAAGATAAAGAATCACACACAAAGTGGGAGTTGTCACAGCTGCTCTTTGCTGATGACACTGTGCTCTTGGGAGATTCTGAAGAGAAGTTGCAGAGATTGGTGGATGAATTTGGTAGGGTGTGCAAAAGAAGAAAATTAAAGGTGAATACAGGAAAGAGTAAGGTTATGAGGATAACAAAAAGATTAGGTGATGAAAGATTGAATATCAGATTGGAGGGAGAGAGTATGGAGGAGGTGAACGTATTCAGATATTTGGGAGTGGACGTGTCAGCAGATGGGTCTATGAAAGATGAGGTGAATCATAGAATTGATGAGGGAAAAAGAGTGAGTGGTGCACTTAGGAGTCTGTGGAGACAAAGAACTTTGTCCTTGGAGGCAAAGAGGGGAATGTATGAGAGTATATTTTTACCAACGCTCTTATATGGGTGTGAAGCATGGGTGATGAATTTTGCAGCGAGGAGAAGGCTGGAGGCAGTGGAGATGTCATGTCTGAGGGCAATGTGTGGTGTGAATATAATGCAGAGAATTCGTAGTTTGGAAGTTAGGAGGAGGTGCGGGATTACCAAAACTGTTGTCCAGAGGGCTGAGGAAGGGTTGTTGAGGTGGTTCGGACATGTAGAGAGAATGGAGCGAAACAGAATGACTTCAAGAGTGTATTAGTCTGTAGTGGAAGGAAGGCGGGGTAGGGGTCGGCCTAGGAAAGGTTGGAGGGAGGGGGTAAAGGAGATTTTGTGTGCGAGGGGCTTGGACTTCCAGCAGGCATGTGTGAGCGTGTTTGATAGGAGTGAATGGAGACAAATGGTTTTTAATACTTGACGTGCTGTTGGAGTGTGAGCAAAGTAACATTTATGAAGGGATTCAGGGAAACCGGCAGGCCGGACTTGAGTCCTGGAGATGGGAAGTACAGTGCCTGCACTCTGAAGGAGGGGTGTTAATGTTGCAGTTTAAAAACTGTAGTGTAAAGCACCCTTCTGGCAAGACAGTGATGGAGTGAATGATGGTGAAAGTTTTTCTTTCTCGGGCCACCCTGCCTTGGTGGGAATCGGCCAGTGTGATAATAAAAATCATAAAATAGCCCTTGTGGCTTAGCGCTTCTTTTTTATTATAATAATATGGATTTAGAAAAGGCATATGATAGTGGAGCAATGTGGCAGATGTTGCAAGTACAATGTATATGGAATAGGTGGTAAGTTACTAAATGCTGTAAAGAGTTTTTATGAGTATAGTGAGGCTCAGGTTAGGGTGTGTAGAAGAGGGAGACTACTTCCCAGTAAAAGTAGGTCTTAGACAGGAATGTGTAATGTCACCATGGTTGTTTAATATTTTTATAGATGGGGTTGTAAAAGAAGTAAATGCTAGGGTGTTTGGGAGAGGGGTGGGATTAAATTAGGGGGAATCAAATTCAAAATGGGAATTGACACAGTTGCTTTTTGCTAATGATACTGTGCTTATGGGAGATTCTAAAGAAAAATTGCAAAGGTTAGTGGATGAGTTTGGGTGTGTGTGTAAAGGTAGAAAGTTGAAAGTGAACACAGAAAAGAGTAAGGTGATGAGGGTATCAAATGATTTAGATAAAGAAAAACTGGATATCAAATTGGGGAGGTGACGTGTCGGCGGATGCATTTATGAAAGATGAGGTTAATCATAGAATTGATGAGGGAAAAGGGGCGAGTGGTGCATTAAGGTATATGTGGGGACAAAAAACGTTATCTATGGAGGCAAAGGGCTGTATAGTCCTTGTGGCTTAGCGCTTCTTTTTGATTATAATAATAATAATATGGAGGCAAAGAAGGGAATGCATGAAAGTATAGTAGTACCAACACTTATATGGTTGTGAAGCTTGGGTTGTGAATGCAGCAGCGAGGAGGCAGTGGAGATGCCCTGTCTAAGGGCAATGTGTGGTGTAAATATTATGCAGAAAATTTGGAGTGTGGAAATTAGGAGAAGGTGTGGAGTTAAAAGTATTAGTCAGAGAGCTGAAGAGGGGTTGAGGTGGTTTGGTCATTTAGAGAGAATGGATCAAAGTAGAATGACATGGAGAGCGTATAAATCTGTAGGGGAAGGAAGGCGGGGTAGGGGTCGTCCTCAAAAAGGTTGGAAGAAAGGGGGTAAAGGAGGTTTTGTGGGCGAGGGGCTTGGACTTCCAGCAGGCGTGCACGAGCGTGTTCGATAGGAGTGAATGGAGACAGATGGTATTGGGACGGGACGATCTGTTGGAGTGTGAGCAGGGTAATATTTAGTGAAGGGATTCAGGGAAACCGGTTATTTTTATATAGCCGGACTCGAGTCCTGGAAATGGGAAGTACAATGCCTGCACTCTAAAGGAGGGATTCGGGATATTAGCAGTTGTGTATCTTTATACGTATACGCTTCTAAATTGTTGTATTCTGGGCACCTCTGCAAAAACAGTGATTGTGTGAGTGAGGTGCAAGTGTTGAATGATGAAAGTATTTTCTTTTTGGGATTTTCTTTCTTTTTGGGTCACCCTGCCTTGGTGGGAGATGGCCAACTTGTTTAAAAAAAAAATATACAGGAGCGCCCCCACTTTACGGCAATTCACTAATACAGACATTTCAGATCATACCCAAAAATTCATTTATATGTATGGGGTAGTTATACCCAGCTACATATACAATTCATGATTCGCTATTACGGTGTCTGCATGCCACTCTGTTTTCAACCTTCATGAGCTCCGTCTCTCTTGATTGTCTGAAAATTTTCCTCCAAAGTTTCAAGTGTTTTTAATTAAAGTTATTGCAGATTTTATATATACCCTGATAATTTTACTTGTGTGTACTTGTACCTAAATAAGCTTACACACTGTGCTGGCATCCAGGTACATTAATTGCTGGCATCCAGGTACATTAATTAAAATCACTTTGTTTCACTTGTGTTTGCACAATAGGTATAATGATAGCTCTGGGGTGCTTTAAATTTAATTGTGAGGTGTGGTAGCCAGGCAGGCGTAAAGTAGTGTATGACAATTACTATAAAGTTTTCTCTAGTACAACACCAGCAGAGAAACTGTGTACATAAAATTTTACTGGAGGGGGGTAATTGTACAAAAACATTCCTTTCGTGTGCCTTCACTCAAATACATGTAGCATCACTCTTAAAAAGGTGTTACATGAGAATGGTAGCTGTTATGTATTCTACTGCACCAATATGTACACAGTGTAAGGTGTATATATTGTGGTGAACACGTTTCAACAGCGAGTAGACAGATATTAATACACGTTCATCTGACTCCCCACCACCCATTCACTGTTTCTTTACATTCTCCATGAGCTTCATGTCTTGTTTACTAGTTCTCTCTCATTTATGATGGCATCTAAGAGTAGCTGTGATAAAAAGGGAGTCATAAGCCTCTCTAAATTTATTCCAAGTTAGAAGTGATTTAACTCAGTGAACAAGGTATGTTAGTACCAACAAGCATCATAATAATAATAATAGTCTGGGGTGCTGTAAATGTCTATAGACATTTTAATTAATCCATCTATGACATTTTTTCAAAATTATATAAGAAACACTACATATGAACAAAATATATATAATCATAGTAAAACAAATTAATATAATTGTGAAGTGTGGTAGCTGAGCAGTCTATTAAACTTTACTTCTACAATAAATACTACTCGCCTCTCGCCCTACATTAAGATTACAAATATTTTAAAGGTAAGTAATGAGTGTACCATATATGCATTTTACTTTTTCTTTATACCTAGTTCTATTCCTAACTTAATATGACAGTATAAACATGTTATCAGGCACTTGTATGCATTTAAAAGTGAAAAGGGGCAATTTGCCTTACAGTGGTAGCCTAGAACTTAACCCACCATATAAGCAGGCCCCTCATGTATTATAAGATACTGTGGGGAGGGTGCCCCATAAATGTTTATATGGGTCTGTTTTGGGTGGGCGGTTGGATTTGTATGTACTATTTGATACGTGTGCACTGCTGCTGGGTGTGTTGATACATGTTCATCTCGCATTATGAAAATTATTGTGAAACATTTTCCCCACAATACAAAAACCTTACATTGTGTACAAGTTGTCATTATGTTGGTGCAGTAAATACATAACAGCAACATATGATACTCTGGGTGAAGGAATATGAAAAGAATGTTTTTCTACAATAACCCCCCACCCTACTAATATATAGTTTCTCTGGTGGTGTTTTACGAGAGAATGTATTGTAGTAATTGTCATACATTCCTTTACACCTGCCTGGCTACCACACCTCACAATTATGTAAATTTGTTTTACTATGTATGTATTCTGTTTATATGATAAGTAGTGTCTTACATAATTTTGAAGAAATAGAGGGATTAATGAAAATATCCATAATACTGTTACATAATACGTATACGACATTTAAAACGCCCCAGAGTGATTATTGGTAATTATTATTATTATACTTGTTACATCAACACCATTGAGAACTCTTGGCTATTCCCTCGCATGGCATAGCTGATGCTCCTTTGTAACAGTGCCAAATAGTGATTTTAATGTACTTGCACAACAGCACTGTGTGAGTTTATTAAAGTACAAGTACACTAGTACACTTATCAGTAGTATCTCAGTACTCTCAGCTACAGATATACCGAGTTTAATCATTCTAACTTAGCACTTAAAAATAGTAGTAGTAAGGCTCTTACTTTATCACAGCTGCCCTTAAATGTCCTTGTAACACAAGGGTATATGTATAAAATACGCAATAACTTTAAAATACTTGAAACCTTGGAAAGTTTCCAAACGATCAGGAGAGACGTGTAGCTCATGGAGGATGTAAACAGAATGGATGCCATAAAAGGAAATCAGGAGCTGTATGAATGAATTTTTGGGTATTGTTTGCAATGTCTGTATTAGTGAAGTGCCTTAAAATGGGGCCCTCCTGTACTAAGTAGTGCAATAGTAGCAGAGATGAGAGTAATGGAAGTGACAAGAGTCAGTGGAGTGTCAGTGAGGCAGTAGTAGTAGCAATAGTGAAGGTAGTCTAAGTACAAGAGAAGAAAGGAGCACTGCAGGAGAGCTAATGGCCTACAAAAAGAGGTAAGGAGAGGAGATAAAGATAAGGTCAATTCATGAGTGTTCTGAAGTTTGGAGCATTTGACAATGTAATGAGAAAGGAAGGCATCTATAAAGACAAAGCCAGGGCTAAGAGTCCACATTTGAGTGTGGCAACTGTTTGCCAGTAGGAATTACAGGAAATAATTTATGAAGGAGCAGGAGTAATGATTGCAATTACAAACATAACATGTTTAATGTAAGACATGTACAGTCCAAACATCAATGTAACATTTCTGTCTCGTTAACATCCCAAATAATCATGGTAACATTAATAATGCTAAACTCTGTATTATACAGTGACATGCAACTCTTGCAAGTGCTGCACTATTGACAAAGCTTTGTAGGGTAACAAGTCGACTCTGGAAACCACTTTTAATTAAGTACGTATAATGTCGACTCGGAAGTTTTGGCTGACCTTTCTGGTCTAAGGAATAACAAATATGGTCACATTTTCTCAAGTGTATAAAAATATCTGCTATGTGGCTACTGTAATAACCAGAATTTAAAATGGTACAGTATATATATATGTAGAGATACCTAGAAAAGTTAATGATGTTAATACATGTAATATGCATTATGTAATGATATGATGGGTGGATATTTGGATGGGGAGTAGCCAATTAGGCTGAAATTATGCCTACAAATTGTCTCCTTCCACAGTCTCTCTTGTGACCCGTCTTCTGGAGGACCTCCTCCTCGTAGTTTGGTGAGGGACTCCTGGGTTTGACCTTCCTTCTGTTGGTTGAGAGCGGTCACTTGCAACTGGTGTTCCCTGTAAGCGGTTGGCTGTACTTGATCTTCCATTAGTCCCTTGAGTCTGGTCCCTTTGTGTGGCTTCTGAACCTGATCTTTCACTGGGTTGTGATGTTCTCTTGATCTTGAATTTGAACGTGCTCTTGTTCTACCATGACCCCTTGATGTATCCCCAACTGACACATCTGTTTGGCCACTTATTTTTTCATTTACCTCTGGCTGGTCAATTGTCTTTTCCAGTAATGCTTGTGGTTCATCAGTTGGTTGTAATAAACCCAGGTGTGGATGACTAACAGCCTCGACACTTACCTGTGTCTTAGCGGGAACCTCCAGAACTATTGGTGATTTTCTAGTGGCCTCGGCAATTATCTGTAAGTGATCAGGCACCTGTGGTTGATCATTGTGTTCCACAGGAGTCTGAGAATGACCAGGGATCTCTATGTTGGAATGCGTGTGATGACCAATTTTCTCCTCAGTATCTTGGGGGTGACTTATCAATCTGTCATTAGGTTTCAGGGATCGACCACCTGTTCTTTCCACAATCTCGGGTTGGCTGAATGGCTTTTCCTCAGTTGATAGAGGTAGATACGTCTGGGGTTGACCCACTGGTGTATCTCCAGCTGACTGAGGTAAAAATGCTGTCCTTTCAATTACCGGAGGTTGACTAAATGGGGACTCGACTGGCAAAGGTATACCAAATGAACTTTCTTCTGTTACCCGAGATCTTGTTGAGACTTCTCTGTCCAAGTAAGCCGGATTACTAAATCTTTCTTCTGAAATCTGAGGTTGGCCAGATATTCTATCTTCAGTGAGTGGGGGTTGAGGAAACAATATTCCTTCAGCAACCTGGGGTTGACCAACTTTTCCAGCAAATTGTCTATTTTCTGTTTCTTTGAACACTTGGGCCTGGCCAAATAATATATCTTCAGCTACTCTGGGCAGTTCCGGCACGCTTTCTTCTGTCACTTCATGTGCAACTACTAGCCTTTCCTCTGCATGCTGGGGTAGGTCTGGCCTTCCCTGAGCCAGCTGGGGTCTTGGCACTAGTGTGCCTTCATTTATTTGAGGTTGATCAACCTCACTCTTTTCAGCAAGACTAGTTTGGCTCACCCTTGTTTCGCCATGCCCTGGTTGTCGACCAAACACTCTGCCTTCATTTATTTGAGGTTGAGTTAACGTCTCTTCAACCCCTAATGGTCGACCAATAGGCTGCTCGTTGGCTTTCACAGTATGAATCTGATCTGTTCTTGTGGACTCGTCTCTGACAGTTAAACCAGGCACCCTGAGCCTCTTTCGTGTTACTCTTGCGTGTGATATGGCAAGGTTTCTCCTTCCATTCTCTCCTGGACCGGGTCTGCTGCTGGCTCTGTTTGACTAGCTTCACTGTGCCTAGTTCCAAGGAGGCCCCTCTCAGGTGAGCTAATTGGTGCCACTTCTGCTTCTCTGGGCAATTCTCTATTCTCTTCTGCTTGGACATTAACTGGATTTGGCAATTCTGAGTCTTTTCTTCTCCCAAGCAATAAACCAGATAGTCTTAGTCCTCCACTCTTTGGTTTCTTTGTCTCTAGTAGGCTTTTTCTTCGATCATGCTCTTCAGCTGTCTTTTTCTTGTCTTGAGGAATGTCATCCTTATTTGCTTCCTTTGGTCCTTCCCCTGTATCGTCTCTTTGGACTGATGGAGAATTTTTCTGCTCAACAGGTTGCTCAGAATTGTCAGGGTCACCAAATGGCTTTTTGAGCAATGGGGACCTTTCTGGGAGGCTCGGCCTACTGGTTGGCTTTTTTAGAAGTTGTGGCCGTTGTAAGGGGGACCTGGGAATGGTTTTCTTTTCTTCCCGAGGCTCGTCTGTGAAATCGCTTGGAGTGGTTTGCTGAGATTGTGGTTGAATGGGCTGGAATGAGGTCGGTCTGCTTGATTTTTGAGACCGAGGTGCCTGAACTGGCAGGGTGATGGGTGCCTCATGAGTAGCTGGAGGCCTTACTTGGAAGCGATGTACGATGGGCAGGCTCACTGGTTCACTAGTTTGGCTCCTGCCGGAGGAAATCCTGAAGGTTTCCCTGAAGCAGCAGAGATTGTAGAGGGCACAACAGAGTCCTGGCCGCTCCTCCACGGCACTCACGTCTCCAGTGTGCACCCTGGGCAGGCAGTCGTGCTGTTGAGAATGAGGTATAGTACGTCATATACAGAACATAGAAAGCAAAACAATGTCTGAGAAATGGGAAGTAATCATGTGTAGTCCTAGGGGAGAGTAAGTTTAAATTCCTTAGATCACACACACACAATTTATGTAGTATATATAAATTAAATTAGCTCTCCACCCTCAGTAATTATTGTATCGTAATATTCCTAACTCGAATCACTAAGAGCTTTCCCTGACATAGATATGAAAATAACCCACTAACATAAATCACATAAATTACTAATATTATAGCTAAAGAGGATTGGGTCAGTGGCATTCCACATATAACCGCTCACACCTCTCGACCTTTCGTGACCCACATGGTGCAATCTTTAAGATTAGGTCATACACAGTAGTGACTGGTAAGGAGACGTCAGTAAATGTTCTCAACTTTGTGATTGAGGTGCAAGTATGAAACGACTGTGGATAAGATAGCATATTATTGATGCTAATAAACCGAGTTTATTTTGACTTTCGATATACTGTGAATTAAGATAAATTTGCGGACCCCAGTAAAAAAACAAAGCGTGACTATTGGATTATCCTTGATTATATATACCTTTCAAGGGAGGTTCCTCGACACTGGTGAGGGGCTCATGACCTAGGGAATTGAAGCTGTGCTCCAGTTTCCTGAAGTAAGTCTGAATACCTTCCATCTCCCCATACAGGCGCTGTATAATCCTATGGGTTTAGCGCTCCCCCATGATAATAATTTTGATAATCTGTGTAGTCATATATTGATTATCTGATGTTTATGTGCGCGAGTTTATCAGAGCATTTCTGTATTGATTGATGCCTGCAGTTTTGTCCCCTCAAGGAAGGTTCCTTGATGCTGGAAAGGGGCTCTTGATCTAGGGACTTGGATCCGTTCTACAGTTCCCTGAATACCTTCCACATCCTCCCTCAGGCGCTGTATAATCCTACGGGTTTAGCGCTTCCCCTTGATTATAATAATTGCAGCTATGTAAATATTTACACGCATACAAAGAGTAAACAAATGCACTTGTGCACGATGAAGGGAAGAAATAAACTACTAAAAAAAATACACTAGTTTTGGGCTCTGACGACATATCACGAATACTGAATCAGAAACATAGCCAGATTCTTCAGGTCACACTATCATCACAATCATAACTAAGCGCTAAATCTACAAGGGTCATACAACACTGCAAGGTAAGGTGTGCTACAAGTGTAATATGCTAAAGAGGTCAAAAGATATAGGCACCTGCCACAAACTTATAAAAAAGACAAATGGTCTCATAGTTAAGAGAAAGCCCCGGGCTACAATCCTGCGTTACGGTCTTTATCAGTCTGGATAAGATTGTGTGGAAGTTAATTTAGCACCAAGAAAGAATGTATTAGAGAAAACCAAAACTGATCTACGGGAGATATTCCTGCCAGATCAACATCCTGGCGCTCTACACAGAATTAGCCTTGTCGGTTTAGGGCTTTATTTGATTATAATAATACACAGAATTAGAGATAAAAATAAGTGTGGCAAGACTGGATGAACTGCATTTTTCCGTTTGAAAAAAAAAAAAAAAAAACTTTTGACATCGTGCCTCACCAGATCTTAATTCACAAGACAGAAAAAAACCAGCAGGAGTAAATCAGAATGTACCTGATAGGCAGGAGACACTAACAACGAGGGACGAAGCGTCAGAACAGTGGGGGTACCACAAGGTTCGGTTCATTTCTCCCCTCCCCATTTTTTAATAAAAAAATAATGTACCTCATTATGTGGCTGCAGTGACATTCTATAAAGCGAGAGGAAAAGTTATATTGGTCTAACACTGCAATCACGAAGGATGAGTTTTAAATTAAGTATATGCTGTATGACCCTTGTGGGTTTAGAGCTTAGTTTTGATAATTTATTATTACCACCAGCGCTGTATGATTTACCCCTTAATATTATTAATGTTACCCAAAAATTAATGATATGAAAATCATGATCGCCTGAGTGCTGACTCATAATAGCGACAGGATGTCCCATTCCCATCTACTGTGAATGTCGTACAATTAATGGGCTTAAATACCGTTTTTAATACATGTAAATGATTAAATGATAGTGAAAATACACTGATTCTGTCCTATGTGAAAATGATGAGAGGGATTAAAACAGCGGTAGACAGAAACACGCACCAGGAGAGACCTGGACAGGTCTTAACCTGTCCAGATAGCCTAACAAACGGTTGCTGGAGTTTAATCTGAATATCTCCACCAACTTTAACGTTTCTCGTTCACTCTTCACATTACTTCACCTGTATGAAGAGCTGTATGACTTATGGCCCAAGTGCGTTTCTTTTTGAATATAATCAATCTGAATAAATGTAAGGTAACGATACTCTAAGAAAGGATTGGATTATTCCTTAGGATTATTATAATTATGGGGGAGCGCTAAACCCGTAGGATTATACAGCGCATGTGGAGGGGGGTGGAAGGTATTCAGCCTCAGTTCAGGAAACTAGAGCACAGATCCAATTCCCTAGATCAAGAGCCCCTCACCAGCGTCAAGGAACTTCCCTTCAAGAGTTATTGCTTATGAGGGAGGACAATTATTATAATAAAAAAAGAAGCGCTAAACTACAAGGGCTATACAGCGCTGCGACGGAGGACAAACTGCCGTATCAGAAAAAAAGAAAAGAACCTGGGAGCCAACATAACAAATAAGTTCTTATGATCTTACTGTTCACGTAGGGCTTCGACACGAATAATATAGGAAAATAGATCCTAGCTTCTAAATCAAAATGTGTAAATACTTACTATACAAGAGTCAGCGAACTCCTGGCAGCAGGTGTTGTGGCTCTCGCAGCAGTATGGCCACATGTCCTCAGGTACAGCAGAGCAGCTGTTGCGACACTTTTCCGTCTCCACTTGCACCTTGGCCGTCGCCGCCCCCGCCGTCGCCGCCCCCACCATCACCACCCACACGCCCACACACCGCCACCATCTCAACTGTGGAAGGAATAATATTTAAACGTGGCTCAGAGACTACTGAAGATTCAATTATGCTGCTTTTATAATACTCGTAGTGTACACACTACCTTTACTAGATCAGTACAGCCTAGAGGACCCGAGCAGGGATGCACTCGAAGTCATAATTAGCACTGACAACGTAAGTAAGTTTATTCAGGTATACACAAATACAGTTACATAGAATTATCATACATAGCAGCATATGTGTAGAGAACCTGGGATAACCCAAAAAAGTCAGACACTGACTTATTTCCATTGGGGTCCTTTTACCTTATTATTATAATATAAAGGTTATAATATTTTCTTATTATTCTACAATGAAGATAACATCTTATTATCATACTAAAAAGACTATCTAATACACTAGGGTCATTAAGACTATCTACAATACGAGGGTCATTACTAGGAATAAGGTAAAATTTACACGTGTGTTAGCTAAAAAAAAAATAGAAAATCATTCCCCTCCCTTTCTGTAGCTACATTCATCAACACCTTTTGGCACTCTTCTTGAACTGGTTCATGCTATGACTGGCTTTGACATGTGCGGGCAGTCTGTTCCATTCCTTTATTGCTGTACAATAAAAGGTGTTTGAAGCCTGGCCACTGACTGTGGGTACTACAAAGTTGTGCTCTCTCCCCCTCGTACTATGATTGCTTTGGTTCCCAACCTTGACAAAATTGACAGCAAGATATTCTGGACACTGTGAGCAATTTTAAAAACATGATTTAGCTTCAGTTGTTTTACTCTGTCTTCAACATTCAACATATCCAACTGCTGTAATTCATCGTGGCCTACATGTTCTCTTGGTCCCAGCCCCAGGATGAATCTTACGATTTTGTTCTGGGTGATTTGCAGTATCTTTCAGTTTTTTTGTCAAGGCTGTTGGTGTCATCTAGGAAAGATGCCCTAAAGACCTCAAACAGAAATAAGCCACAGCGCTCGACTTCTGTGTTATAAACCCCCCTCCCCCCTTTTTTTGAATAACACTATATCTGGAACTGCCTCGCATAGGCCAGTAGGCCTGCTGCAGCGTTCCTTTTTTCTTATGTTCCTATATATGAAACGTTTCGCCAACCAGTGGCTGGCGAAACATTTCCACAGTAACGTTTACCGAAAGTTGCACAAGTGTCTCAGTCTTCAGCACTTATCAGTACCTGTGCAGTCATCTCTGCCTGTACTTGTACGTAATTACAATAAGCACAACACAGACCGTACAAATATAACATAGATCATACATACACATCAAATATACACCATACTGAGTTCTCTCAAGGTGTAAGTAAGTTTATTCAGGTATACACAAATACAGTTACATAGAATTATCATACATAGCAGCATATGTGTAGAGAACCTGGGATAACCCAAAAAAGTCATCCCCAGTTTATACGAGTTGTGATCCTTCAAGGAATCCTTGACGCTGGTGAGGGGCTCTTGATCTAAGGAATTGGATCTGTGCTTCCATCCCCCTACAGGCGCTGTATAACCATACGGGTTTAGCGCTCCTCCATGATAATATGAACTGTGAAGGTTATCTGTACAGTTCCCAGCTTAGCAATTTCGCCTGCCTGAAGGGACTGTTAGTACACAACAATTATTATAATAAAAAGAAGCGTAAACTTACAAGAGTCATACAGCACAGAATACACAGCAATATTCCAAAGGACCGAAACGTCACTGTGGTGACGTTTCGGTCCGTTTTGGAATATTGTCAAGTTGTAACTAAGGTTAGAGAAGTAAAGAAGGCCAGAAGGCAATACGGTTGGGGGGGGGGGGGGGAGGAGGAAGTAGTAACGGTAGAATTACCACTTTTTCTTTCCTGTACTGTCCTCTGGCCTTTAGTTTTCTCGCCCCAGTTGTGACTTGACATTGATCCAGGACAAACTAAAACGTCTTCAATAAAGTTCCTGTATTGAGTGTAGGTTTCTGGTGTACAAATGTTATATTAATATTCGAAAGAGGCGAATGAAAGGTAGCAGCATAACAGACCGTCGTTACTAAGTGATTAGCATGACATGCCAAGTGATGGAAAAGATAAGATACTAGTTGAACATCCCGAGGGAACAAGATTCATCTCGGGAAAAATTTCTGCAAGAACGGAAAATCTTGCTTCACAAACCTGCCTGAACTGCCTGACAGGCTCACGGAAAGGAAAAAAAAAAGTGAGGATTGGCTGATTGCATTTTTCTTGAGCATAATAAAAAGCATAGAGCCGTTGTGTGAGACTATATATAAGCATGGAGGAATGTTGCTAAGATCCGTCCTGAGATCCATAATATTCCTGATACATGTCAACAACCTTCCAGGAGACCTAGACTCTTGCATGTTAGCAAAACATGTCGAGCTTATGGGAAGGCGACAAGCGTCTGCAAGATAACCTCGACCAGTTACAGTCAGATCTCGTCAGAAAAGTGTGCTGAAACCAACTCCACGTATACATGCAGTGATCCTGCGAGGTGGTGCAAGGAGACCACTTTACTGTATGGGTGAAGAACAGCTTAGAGGAGACCAGTGTACAACATGGGTCAGGAATATTTATAGGAGACCAGTGTACATGGGGTGAAGAACAACTATATGTGACCATTGTAGAACATGGGCAAGAACAACTGAAGGAGACCACACAATGTACGACATGGGTGAATAACTACAAGAATCAGGTATTGAGGAAGATCTTGGCATCAACATCAGATCACAATCACTGAAAGTGAACCACATAACGTCCATGATTTACACTAAGCAAACTTAGGGATGGTAATCAGGACTCTAAATCGTAAAAATTTCAAGAACCTTTATAAACAGACTAATTCCAGAACATGCAGAATGGAGTCTCCGTCTGGTCCAACAAAGAGAAGAATGTTCAAAGATTCACAACATAAATGGTAGTGGAAAAAATAAACAGGAGAGGCTGCAAGAAACATGCTTCACGGACTAGAAAAAAGGAGGTAACGAGGAGACATGACCACAACATATATGATACTCAGAGGAAGAGACAGTAGACACTGACAGATCATTTCCAACAGAGCCGGAACAAGGAGTCAGTTAAAAACTAAATTGGAAGATGGCTTGTTGGGACATGAGACTATTTCTTGATGGTCAGAGAAGTAGACAGCTGAAACAGACAGGAGAGCCACATAGAAAGTCTTCATGACTTTTAAGATGGAATACAGTCCAGGTCAAGGCAGTCGACACTGAAGTCAAAAAGCAGGCGTAAGAGTTCCATGTTTTAAATTTGCAAAGTTATGCAAATAAGCTTAGCGTACGAAGCGGCCAGGAGCTAAGTCTCGTCCCCAGCAAGCACAATTCCACGCGTACACGTACACACACACACTTCTACCATTTGCCTTTCACATCTATCCCACCTTTCCTTTCTCTTCTCTCTTTCCTTTCACTCACCTTCTCCCTTCCTACTCCCTGTACCCATTTAAAACAACACGCAATGTAATAAAGACATGTGGTAATGTATTGCATCTTAATGTATGAAGTGACTTGCATTTTCTTGTATTTTATCGTAATGTCTTACAATACATTGATATTAAACAGCCGTGGTGGTGAAGGAAAGGAGAAGCACGCGATAGTAAGAATAGTGTCTGACAAGAATATCATGGATGGACAACTACAGGGTTCACTCACGAAATCGTAATGGCACGATTACAAACAAACCATACCACGGGTGGGGTAGAACCCGCGATCAGAGAGTCAAAACTTCAGACGGTCGCGCTAGCCACTGGACTACAGTGGTGCCTATGCTAACCTTCCTATGGTGTAGAAATATACCTAGTTGGACGAATCTTATTGTGGCTAGCTGGTCCAGTGGACTAACGTGATGGTCTGGAGTTTTGTGACTCTGATCGCGGGTTCTATCCCCGCCCGTGGTATGGTTTGTTTAACTACAAGGTTCACACAAATAGAATTTTCCAGCTCAAGACAGAGGGTTGAATCTTGTGTATTTTTTTTTTACTAGGATCACAGGTCTGAGACCATGGGAAGCTGAGAGAGAGAGAGAGAGAGAGAGAGAGAGAGAGAGAGAGAGAGAGAGAGAGAGAGAGAGAGAGAGAGAGAGAGAGAGAGAAAGAGAGAGAGAGTCAGAAGCGAGAGTGGACATGAATAGAAGGGGACGAGGAGAGAGTAATTACCAGTATGTGAGATGAGTTACAAGTGGGATGTGTTGAGGTGGTAGAAAACCTACACCAGTACTGCCTCAGTAACCCCCACATAACCAGTAACCCCCACATAACCAGTAACCCCCACATAGCCACTAACCCCCATCACCAGTAACCTCCCCACATCACCAGTAACCCATCATCAGCATCCCCCATCAGTAGAATCCATCTCAACCTATCTGGAGTTTACCTGGAGAGGGTTTCGGGGGTCAACGCCCCCGCGGCCCGGTCTGAGACCAGGCCTCATGGTAGATCAGGGTCTGATCAACCAGGCTGTCACTGCTGGCCGCACGCAAGCTGACGCACGAACCACAGCCCAGTTGGTCAGGTTCTGACTTTAGGTGCCTGTCCAGTGCCTTCTTGAAGACAGTAAGGGGTCTATTGGTAATCCCCCTTATGTATGTTGGGAGGCAGTTGAACAGTCTTGGGCCCCGGACACTTATTGTGTTGTCTCTCAGTGTACTCGTGGCGCCCCTGCTTTTCATCGGGGGAATGTTGCATCTCCTGCCGAGTCTTTTGCTTTCATGGGGAGTGATTTTCGCGTGCAGGTTTGGTACCAATCTCTCCAGGACCTTCCAAGTGTATATTATCACGTATATCTCTCGCCTGCCTTCGAGGGAATACAGATCAAGGACCTTCAACCGTTCCCAGTAATTTAGGTACCTTAGCGTACTTATGTGTGCCGTGAAAGTTCTGTGTACACTCTCCGTTTAATCCCCAATTCCTTACACAGTGTTTCCAAAAAAAATCTATATTTACTTTAGTTAACTTACATTTTCGTTTAACAAAATAAGTAATTATTACTTGCCATAACGC